GGCACATCCCCCCTCCACCCAGGACGGCCCCCCTCCCTGATTTCTGATGCCACAGACGAGCTGTGCCCTTTAGATCGTGGAAGCTCCGGTGTGGCCACTTTGAGTCTGGCTTCTTCTGCTCAACATTGTTTGTGAGATTCTCTCACATTGTGATGTGCATCCCTTCCCACCACGCTATGACATTCCAGTAGGTGAACACATTGTAACTTATTTATCCTTTCTTCTGCTGATGGACATCTGGGTTGTTTCCAGTTGTTTGTTTGATTTTTTAAATTACTGGCACTTGAGGCTCGTGTTTGTGATGATGACATCAACAGTAGCTGCCGACCCCTGTGGTGGGCTTGGCCCCAGGTACTCCTTGGTTCAGGATCTCGAGGGCAGGACTCAAAATTGTCTGGTAACTGTTGTGTGTGCGCACACGGGTGCATTTTTCTGGGGCTGGGATCATAGTTTTCATTAGATTCTCAAGAGATGTGTGACTCTTAGAATGGCTAGACCAAACTACGGTCCCTAAGCTGGGGCAGTACAAGTGATGCCTACTTGGGAGACAGGAAGTGTCTTGTTCCACACTGGCACATCTGCCCAGGTGACTGGTCTCACTGTGTGCGAGCTGACTCTGGACAAGGAATCTCGCCTCTCAGTACTTGGAAAATGGGACACCAGGCCCTGCCTGACAGACTGCTGCGAGGATCTGGTGAATGGTCCCCGTCTGACACACAGAAGCAGCCACCAGCTGTGTCTGTCACCAGATCGTTCTATGTCTTCTTTCAGACTTGGGAACAGTCACTCAAGGGCAGACCCTGATGGCTGCAGAAAAGCCCCAGACTTGGGAGTTCAGTTATGGCTCAACCGCTAAGGAACTTGGTGGCCTTGATTTCATCTGTGAAACGAGAGGAGAACCCTGTCGGGCGCCCCATGAGCACACTTCAGGGGCTCCCCAGCCTGTGGCCGCAGCAGCCTCCTCCCCCGCAGCCGAGGTCTCCTGTAAAGAGGCTTCACTGAACCGTGCTCTTCAATATGCTTTGGTGAGCAGGATCTGCAAACGTTGACAAGTCTGCTGGCTTAATAAGTATCATTAGCAGAGAGTGCTACTTACTTTCCCAACTTCCCCTTTCCGAGCTGTCAGGCAGCGACCAAGCTGAGGAAGAGTCAGCACTCCCCACCTGACAGGCCCCTGGGGGCCGCAGCACAGCCCAGGATGGCTTTCCTGGCCCTCAAGAGTCAGCACCCCTCTACTCCACCTCATATACACAGAGAAATAAGACACCCGGCAAGTCGAACCGAAGTCAGTGAGGGGTGCCTGAGGTTGAGCACAGGCACAGAAAGTGCTTTCAAATGTGAAGGGAGGAAAGGCACATGTGGGGAGGGACTGACGCTTCCAGCCAGTGGGGAGCTCAGAACATCACCTCCTCCCCACTTCAGTGATGCTGTGGTGGCCTGGATGGTGGTACAACCCAGTCTTAGGGATGCTGGTGAAAGCTGGGCTGTCAGCAATAAGTGCCAAGGGCAGGGGAGGGGCCTACACACAGCAGGGAAAGTGCATGTGCGATGGCCCGTAAGGCCACAGTCTCAGGACACCTCAGGCAGCTGGGCACAGATGTTCCTGTAGCAATCCCACCACTGCTCTGTTCTGCAGACCCCAACTCTGGCCCTCCAGGACAACAGCTTTCACCTCAGCCCTCCCCACATGCATGTAATGGCTTGGAAGACCAGGGAAGAATTACACACCGAAGCAACCTGCCAGAGAGTCTCATGTTGTAAACACTTATTTATTTAAAAAATACTACAGAGGGGAGATTTGGATTCAAAAAACACAGAGTCATATACAGAAACAAAATGTATTGGACCAAGAATAAGGGGGGTGGGGACACCAGAGGCATTCCAGAACAGAGAAGAGTGGAAAACTATTTACACATCGTTTATAAAAGAGCAAGTCTATAAAAGAGTGTAATACCAAGTATAAATGTAAAATATAGTGGCACGTCGTGTTAACAAAAAGAAGAGGCCAGTACCTCGTGGAAACAGGCAGTCGGGGAGCCTGGCGGGGGAGGTCTGCCTGCTTTGTCTGCAAGGCCACTGTGGGTGCGGAGCACCTCCCCCAGGCTGGGCAGCACAGCTGTTGGGGGGCAAAGAGGGGATTCGCTGTGAGAACCGCATAAAACAATCCAGAGGAAACCATCTCTATCAGAAAAATAAAACACAAGTTTAGGTGATTAGTGTAAAAACAGGGCCTGTGTGAGGTCGCTGGCACAAGGCGGCACAGGGAGCGGGAGAGTGGTGCTCCCTGGTCCACGTGAGGCCCAGGTGGGTGCCTGCCCTGTCTTCAGTCGGCTGCTCTAGGTCAAGGTCGGGGAGACCCACGCCCTGCCCTGTGAGTCACAGTCTCCATTCCTCAGCTCCGGTCCTCAGCAGCTGGGGGACAACACACCAAGGCCTGCTCTTTGAAATACTTTCTGGGGTTTCCTCTGTGATTTTGACACTCCCTGATGACCCCCACAGTAACATTAGGCTAAGTGTTGCTCATGATAATTAAATAAAAGACATGCACCCAATTCAAGAGAGCAGCCGACACTGGCGCAGTCTCTTTGAAATACTTTCTGGGGTTTCCTCTGTGATTTTGACACTCCCTGATGACCCCCACAGAAACATTAGGCTAAGTGTTGCTCATGATAATTAAATAAAAGACATGCACCCAATTCAAGAGAGCAGCCGACACTGGCGCAGTCCTTGGAGCCAGCAGTCCTTTTCCTCCTGTCTGTGCACTGGTGCCCGATGGCAGCTCCGTCCGTATCAGAGGCAGCTGTGCAGAGGAAGAGCTTTGCTTCATGAACTCTGGAGACGAAAGACTGTCTTGGCAGAAAGGGCCCTGCAAGAAGCTACTATGTCATAGAGGAGTGGGAGATGGGAAGGGGACTGGTCAGAAATCAAGTCCAAGCAGGGTGCTTGGATGCGGGAAAGGCAGGTTCACCTGGGCCACCGCACACCTGGCCCAACTGCTCCCCCAGCCAGCCACCGCCTCCCGCTCCCCTGCCCCCGTTCTGCTGGGGTCAGCAGCGGCAGTGACCCTGCCACCTTTAAGACTCTAGCTTTCTTTCCAGGATTTGCAGTGCTCATCACAAGAGAGCAAGAACAGGCTCTGGGACATGGAGGGGAAAGTTGACAAAGACACTACCCACACCTTGGTCTTCTTCAGCTCCCACCTATCTGGGACCCAAAGGCTGGTCAGCTTTAGTGCCCCGTTTCCCCCACATCAAGAGCTGTCCTTCACATGAAGAAATGATGAGTGGCCTCAGCCTTGGGCAGCAGAGGAGGGCAGTGACCCGCTAGTGGCCCTGGCTGTGCACACCTTCCTGGGATGTGGCTCGTGACACACGTTCTCAGCATACGTGACATGGGATGGTGAGTACAGGTGCTCGCTCCACTGGGTGGGTGGGGGCGACGCTGCGTAGGCCTTGGTGCAGCTCCTGTTCTTGGGGAAACACAAGAAGGCGCAGCCAGGAAGCGGCTCCCCAGAGAGGAGGACAAGAAGGACCGTCTTTGTGGCTGTTCCCAGCTGGCCTGGAGGGCTCAGTCTGAGGTACCAGGTGGTGGGAGTCTGGTGGGCCCTGGCTGCAGGAACTCCACAGATAAAACTCCAGGACACAGGCGGCCCAGGCTAGGGACGGGAGGTGCAGGAGGACAGTTGGTGCACGATGTAGGTAGTTGGGCTGGACTCCACGGGGCCCTTGGTTCCGCCTGGCACAGAGCCCTTGGGCCAAGGTCCCAACTCACTGGTCCTTTGTCAGCCACCGTCATGGGCACAGGCGAGCCCTCATGCACTTCAGGCAACTCCAGCTGGCTTGACTCCGGGCTTCTGCTACCTCTGCACGATGTCACTGATTTCTTTCACAGAACTGAGGAGCTTGCTGAAGTCCTGAGTGGCTGCCGAGCCACTGCCTGCTGTCGCCGGGCAGATCTGAAGCTCCCGGAGGTTATTCTCCAGTTTGTTGATGGCCTCCCGGAAGGCAAACTTGTTCCGCATCTGCTGGATGGAATCCACGTAGCTCACGCAGAACGTGTAGAGGTTCTTGCCAGCTTCCAGCACCGCACTGTGGCTGGCCATCTGTTCAGAGTTCCTGGAGATGGCGAGGCATAGGGCCTCGGTGCTGTCCAGAACCACGCCCTTGGTGATGGTGCCGCTGGTGATCCGCTCCGGAGGCTGTCGGGTTTTCCGAAGAGACACGCGGGTCGATATGAGAGGGATGAAAGCAGTGGAAGATGGCTGGTCCCCTGCCAGGGCGGAGGGTGCTGATGGCAATGTGGAGGGAGCAGGGGTGGGGCTGGTGGGGGTCCCCGCTGGCTTGGTGGATGACTGCGGCTTTGGTATGGACGGGAGCACAGGCTTTTTGAGGCCCTCTCCTAGCTGGCCAGGTTTGGTGGTGTCACTGTTCACAGCATCCCCAGCCAGACTCGTGGATCTTGCTTTTGCACTGGCACCTGCCGCCTCCCCAGCCACTTCCTGGCTCGGACCCTGAGAGGGTTTCCCGGCCTTCCCCACGGAGGCCGGGGGCGGGGGCGGTGGGGCGGGCTTGAGCTTGGACAGCTTCCCCTTGTCTCTCCCGGGTGACTCAGAGGGGTGCTTGTGCCTCCTCACTCTGGATTCCTCGGTGGGGGCCTTTCCGGTACCTCCGGCTGTGCCTGTCCCCGCTCTGCTAGTGGGGGGCACTGGCTCAGATGCAGCAAGGGTCCCTAAGGCACTGCCCTTCCCGGTCTCTTCCTTGTGGGGGAGGCCTGAGGAAGGAGCCACCATGACCTGCCGANGCGGGGGCGGTGGGGCGGGCTTGAGCTTGGACAGCTTCCCCTTGTCTCTCCCGGGTGACTCGGAGGGGTGCTTGTGCCTCCTCACTCTGGATTCCTCGGTGGGGGCCTTGCCGGTACCTCCGGCTGTGCCTGTCCCCGCTCTGCTAGTGGGGGGCACTGGCTCAGATGCAGCAAGGGTCCCTAAGGCACTGCCCTTCCCGGTCTCTTCCTTGTGGGGGAGGCCTGAGGAAGGAGCCACCATGACCTGCCGACGGAGGAGTTTTGGGGTCAGGCTGGGAGGGCTGGAGCCTGGGCTGGACTCGGTGGCATCTTTGAAGACTTCGTCAGCAGCTTCCTCGTTCTTCTTCACCAGCCTAGGTGGCGGGGTCACTGTGCCTCTGGTCACCTGGTCAGACCTGTTCTCACTTGCCCGCTTCCGGGGCAGCGCTGGCTTCTCACTTCTGTGTCCTCCAAATGTGGATGAGTCGAACTGTTTCCCAGTGGACTGCAAGTCCCGGGGCAGCGTGACTGACCTCCACTCTGTGTCCTTGGCCCCATGGGGCACACAGGAGGCCGAGCAGGACCGCAGGAAGCGCTTGCTGGAGCTGCCGCCACCCTCCTCCTCGCTGGCCGCTAGCCGGCTGCTGGTCAGCGTGCTGGACTTCTTCCACAGGTGGGGAGACCGGATGCCCGTGCCCCCGGGCTCCCGGAAAGCTCCATTGGGGACAGCAGCCCCGTTGCTGGGCTTTGGGGACTTGGCAGGCTCGGCCGTGTCCGAGGGGGTGAGGGTGAGCGCCCCGTTGCTGACGTCTCGGCCCTCTTCCTCGCCGGGTCCCCGGCGCTCCGGCTGCCCGTCCATCTCCCGGAAGGAGCTGCTACGCTTGGGTGGGGTCGGGGCTGTCTTCTTCTTCTTCTTGATCAAGGCGCTGAACAAGTTGGTCTTTTTGTCTTTGGGGAGAAGGCGCTCATCCTCGTTCAGGCCGCTATCTGGGGGACCTCGCTCTTTTCGAGGGAGCAGTGGAGACACAGCAGGCTCGTGGTCCACGGGATCTGAAACACAGTGGGAAGCGCTAAGCAACCGCAGACTGAAGGCTCTGGAGTGGCGAGCCCCGGGCTGACACCACAGGCCTGGGCCTGGTGACCAGCTCTGCCCCCCACTCGCCATGAGGCCCCGGCAAGTTCCTTCTCTTCACTCAGCTTCAGCTTTCTCACTCTAAAATGGAGGACAGTGGACATGGAGCATTTGTCACAGCTCTGGGCATGGGATTTCTCAATAAGTGCCATCGCTGCTGTTAGTGCTGTCATTAGGAAAGGCTTAAGTCTGTCTTCTTGAAGACAGAGGAACAAAAGGCTGGGATGGCCCACCAGGCCTCCTCACCCCACACAGGTTTACTTTAAAGCAGAGACCCTCCAACATCACTCTCTGGTGGGTAAAAACGACAAGGCCCAGCAGGGGTCGGAAGGTGGCAAAGACAGCGAAACTCGAATGAGTTATATACATTTCTACCGCAGGGCTGAGCAGCTGATCGGCAGCCCTGGCTCACCATGTGACCACATCGAAACACCCTCAGAAGTACGCTGACGGGCATAAGCCAACACGACCAGCTGCCACCAGGCTTTTAGTAAGCACAGCATTTCCACAGTGGCCTCTCCTCCTCCTCACTGCTCAATTACCCGAAACCATGACTAACGGGAGGACAGAGGGTCCATGGTTCAGGACAGTCTAGATGCCACGGCCTCCAAAGCGGGTCAACAGTATGACCCCGCAGGGTGTGGAAGCACAGAAATATAATTTGGATTTATTTCTTATGTAAGCCTTTTTTTTTT